ATATATATGCAGAGGTGCACATAAGTGGTGTGCATGTGCAGTCAATAAAGGAAAAAGCGCACCAGATGTAACGTCATAAAGCTCCCTTGTGTACCTAAGGTTGTACCTGATTATCTGTCAAAAACAACAGTTAACAGGGCTCTAGACGCGACCTGATTTCTTAAAAAATAAAAAAGAATCCAGCGGCACTGGTGTAAATGTATCATTGTTCGGTGCACCAGAGGAGGACCCTGATATAAAGATAAAACTGAGACACTGCCTTCAACAAATCAGACGAAGTCCAGAGCTGTTTTGTCCAATCAGAGCAGAGCAGGGCGGGACTTTCAGTCAGAGCAAGTTTGGTTGAAGCAGCAGGCCGGGTCAACTGGAGCTGATAAAACTTCATCCTATCTGAGGAACAACCATCTGAAATTCACCGAGGTTCTATCCAAAGAGGACAGAGAACGTCACAATAAACTGTGGCCTCTAACAGACACAGCCTGTAAGGAGGGTCAGCCATCTTATTTCGTTGGGGGTCGTGGATTTATCAGTGGAGCAGAAGTCCTCCCTCCTTCACTTAAACTTTAAAAATGACCCTTTTGTGAATCCCTTCAAATGATGAACCTGGTCTATTTTTTTGACTACGCTCTTAGTTTCCATTTATTATCATATTCTCCTTCGGTTAATGTTTTATTTTATACTAAAAACTTGTTGTATTTGAAAGTTTTAAAATACTATTGTTAAACCAAAATAGATAGTTAAAATCTGTATTTTTGGTAAACTTACTTATTCAGGTTATTTACCACTCTATTATTTAAACTGTGCAGCACCCGGTCCCCTTTCTTTGTGAATACACTCTTAGCTTAAGAGGTTTATAACTTGTTCTTTTTATTGTTGTTGTTGTTAGTCGTTCTTAATAACTTTGTCTTTATCGTTTGTTTCTCTTAATGCCAGGGGGTTACGGCAAGCTTGTAAGTGTAAAGCATTATTCTTATTTACCAAACAACTTAAAACTGATATTTGTTTTTTTTTTTTCAAGAGAGTCACTCCACATCTGATGACAGTAATTTCTGGAAATCACAATGGGGAAATGAAATCTGGTTATCTCATGGATCGAAGCGCTCCGCTGGGGTTACCACTTTTAAAAATCATTTTTCTGGAACTATAATACACTCTGACTGTGACATCCTAGGACATTACACCTGTTCACTTATTGGATGCTACAACAATACTTTTATTATACACTGTAAAAAATGAAATGTTGGATTTACTTAACCATGTTATGTTACCTGGTCCCACTTAACCGAGTTGGGTAAATTCAAAGCAATATACCAGTTTTTTAGCCAAAGAACATGAGTATGTTGCTTTGAATTTGCTCAACTCAGTTAAGTGGAACCAGGTCACATAACATGGTTAAGTAAATCCAACATTTCATTTTTAGAGTGTAGTTAATAAATATGGTTATAATAATAAAGCTAAAAATGACAAACTATTTGACACATTAGATGAAAAAATTACACGTCGGCTTTCAAAATATCCAGACTCAATCCTGTTAATCGGCGGGGACTTTGATATTGCCTTAGATAATACAATCGATAGATGGCCTCCAAGGCAGCAGACCTCATACAATACAAATTTAAAAAACTTTATGGAGAAATTTAATGTTGTAGATGTTTGGAGAGAAAAATTTCCAGATGATAAAAGCTTTACTTGGAGCAATAAAACAGGATCCAAGCAATCTCGAATTGATTTCTGGCTCATCTCTAATCATATAAATAAAAATAGCATTGTTGTTAATATACTTGCCACCCCTCTTACAGATCATAGAGCTGAAGAAATTTAGTTACTTATATCCTGATGCATCTCAGTAATCCAGGTAAAAAATCAAGGAAAAAAATTGTATAGGTCCTCTGGACGGGTTCTTCTTTAATGAAACGTTTCGTCTCTCYTCCAAGAGACTTCTTCAGTCTGA